AATGTGCTTACAATTTATGTTGTATATGCTTTTAGCTTCTTTCATTTTAGTTCGCTGACAGATCCTCTCGCCTTCATTCCCGCCGAGGCCTGGTTTTACTACGAGTCTGGCACTGAAGCAACCACAAACCACATGTGGGCAGTTTTCTACTCAAATGAGAGAATTCATCAAATGGTAAATTTATATTGAAAGCATTTTTTGTGACGCATGACACCGTGTTGAAGTGTCTGTCTCGCCCGCTGCAAACGAGCAGTCTTTCTGCAGACAGAGCTGGCATAACACGGAACATTTACCAGTCATTTGATTGACGTTATCTAATGCAAAACTGAAATTAGAGCGCGTTTAAAAACTTCCATTCGCCATAGGCTTAAGTGTGAACTGCGTAATCTGTACGTTGCTTGTTCTCAGCGCTGAATATCATGTCTGTCATGTCGTCATATCTGTCGACAAGTTTTTCTTATGACAATTACGTTAATACAAGCATCTTGAAAGTTAGTTAAAGGTACGTTAAACTGTAAATCCTTCAGTCTTTCAATTTCCTTCAGTGCCCACTGGCAGAGCATGCAGGTACTTTAGCTTGAAACCAGTCTTTATCAATTCATATGGCATGCTATTTTGGGTTAAATAATGTCCTAAATATTTCTAGATATACAAAGTTAAGTTTTAATGGAGAAATATGTCTGAATCTATCTGTATTTTCTTTTCACATTATAAATAATAAATTAATAGTAAGATAAATTCTTAACACATGTTAATTTATTCTAATGTAGTACACTGTTCATTTTAAGATGCCTTATTACTCATGTTACTCATTAAAATTGAGACTTTAGTCTTTGCAACTTCAGGGATCTTATCTATGCACAATCAGCTTGTAACACTCCAAAGAGAAAGGAAAACTTGAAATCGCATCATATGACCCCTTTAAACTGTAAATCCGTCAGTCTTTCAATTTCCTTCAGTGCCCACTGGCAGAGCATGCAGGTACTTTAGCTTGAAACCAGTCTTTATCAATTCATATGGCATGCTATTTTGGGTTAAATAATGTCCTAAATATTTCTAGATATACAAAGTTTTAATGAAGAAATAAGTCTGAATCTATCTGTATTTTCTTTTCACATTATAAATAATAAATAGTAAAATAAATTCTTATTTTAATTTATTCTAATGTAGTACACTGTTCATTTTAAGATGCCTTATTACTCATGTTAAGTTCTCAGCATACTCAAAATTAGGGGTAATCACAATTATTTTACCATATTTACAGTCCTAATGTAAATTACTGAAATAAGTGTTTTTTTTATCCTTTTTCAATAGAATTGGCCCAGACTTCTGCAGTGTCAAGTGAAGGAAGCTCCTCTCATAAGATTGCAAACTGGGAGTCTGATGACACTGAGTGTGAGTGATGGAAGCCCTTCAAGAAAGGAGCAGAATGCTGAAGATGAAGCCAGAATTGTGAGTGTGTCATTTATATGTTATTCTATGTGCAGTACAAATTTAAAACACACAAATGAATATGAAAAATTAAAGTTTAACTGGGCAGCCACACAATATCTGCTTATGTTCACACCTGGAATTTACTAATTATTAATTTAAGATATCAAACTGCAAAAAGATAAATGGTTAGTTGACCCAAAAATGAAAAATTGTCATTATTTCTCACTCTGTCATTCCAAACCTGCAAGACTTGCATTCATTTTCAAAACACAAACGAAGATATTTTAAATGAGAACATTTCCTTCCATCGACAATCTACACAACTACCACTTTGATACTTCAAGAAGTTCATAAAGAGATCATAAAACTAATCCAAATGAATCGAGCAGTTTAGTCCAAATTTTCTCAAGAGACTCGATCGCTTTACAATGAACAGATTGAATTTTTTTTTTCACATTTAAACATTAGTCGGGGAAAATAAACAGAAAAACAGAAAATTTGGACTAAACCACGATACGTATGGATTGGATATCTTTATGGATTAGATCTCTTT